CTTTAAGTAGCTCCAGGTTAAGTGATCACGTCAGAGTCCAGCAGACAGTGACACAGACAGCCCTGCTTAGGAAAACCCTGTTTTGGATCACAAAACAGAAGACATGAATGCGAGAAAGGGGGTTATAGGGAAGAGTGGGGATGGAAAAGACTGAGACAGAGTTGGAAATGAGCGGAGGACAAAGAATCAGAGTGCGTTACAGACAGGTCTGAAGCTGTCAAACACATTTTAAAAAATCATAATAAAATGGAGAGAAATTAAGAATAGAAATGACAGTTTTAATTTCTAGCGCATGATGAGTTTTCCATCAAATATCTACTTTCAACCATAACCTTGTTTTGATAGGAAAAATAGCGAGCATTATCATCAAAAAGTTTAAACTTGAGAAAGCATTGTTCAATATAGGCTGTCAACATGAAAGGTTTTTTTTTTGCTGATTATAGATGTTTTAAAACATTCTTCATCTGTATTGCCAAATTCTATTTCAACAATTTCAGATTACTACGATAATTTTAGCCGTTGAGGGATTGCAAATGTGATTTGTTTGAAAGACATTGCTTGAAATATTGGAAAATAATAACAATAAGAATTAAATTTAGAATTTTATTAGAAAAATTTATCTGAGAAAATTTGGCTTTTGGTTCAGTGTGTTATTAGGAACCACATCAAATATATTGCTAAAATGTCAAATATACTCAACACTCACTAAGATTAAGACCTATAGTCTATTCATTTATTCTCATTCCACACATTTTTCTCTCCTATTTTACACAAGGGCTGTTCCATTTTACACAAAGGGGTACTGGGAAAACCCACAGATCCCAGACAGTATCTTTGTAATTTCATTCATCTTGAGTGTACCATCAAAAGCAAAACAGCAAAAACAAGCAAAAATTCTCAACTTATTTGAGTTTGATATCTTTTTAGATACCCATAGTCATATAAGTCCTTGTTTGTGCATGGAGATCACAACAAACTTAAATCCATATTCAGCACAGTCTTTGCAGCAGACTTGGACATTTGTCTGTTGAGGACACAGTTCCTAGAGTGTCTTGAAAGGCTACAATGTGAGATAATCTCAAAGATGTGTCACCACCTCCTCTTGTCAACCAGCAATCTTGGATAACTGTGGAGTATTGAGTATCTCAGTTCTCAATTTCTTCATCTGTAAATTAGAATCATACTTCATGTTGTAGCAATGATTAAACAACATATGTAAACCATCCAACACGCTGTTACATCAGAACATCAGACACATTCAGTAAATATTTGCTGTTATTTATTTGTTTAAATAATGATTGAAAACAATTGTGTGTACAACATGATAAGCATGTGTAGAGTCTCGGGTGTGGAGATCAGATGATGGCTTTTAGGAGCTGGTTCTCTTCTTTCACCTTTTCTGAGTTTCTGGGACTGAACTCAGGACATAGGCTTTGCTGAGGCTTCTCGGCGGCCTTGGCTTTTCTTCTTGAAGATCAGTGTCTCTATTTCCTTTCACTTTTTCTTATAGAATATGTTCTGGGAATTTCATACCCTCCCAATTATCCTCTCTTGATAAACATTTTTTCTTGAACTGTTGCATCAAACGTAATTTATTTAGCTTTAGGGAGTAGCACACACGCATTTTCAGGAGGTTGGCTGTAGAGAGAATATCTTGTGTATTGTATGGATCCATCACCTGTCAATTAAAAATCTTGTGACCTATAGTAAAGGTCAGAATAGAAGGTGGGACATCTGGGAGACAGAAAGAATTCTGGGACAGAGCCAGGAATGGGAGATTTGCCCAGGAAGATGTGAAAAGATGGACACATGGTAACTGAACACAGGCAAGCAGCCACTTGGCAGACTGTAGATTAGAATAAATGAATAATTTAAGTTATTCTCTAATAAGAGAAAAGCCTATGTATGTGGTCAAGGTATTTGTAAATATATTTTGAGTCTAAGTCTTATTTCTGGTAGCATGGGGCTGGGAGAAAGAACCAGGCATAACTTCTACAGTTGGCAATTCTGAAGTGTTTTAGAACAATGGAGGTTGCAATACAGCTATAAAATTTTCTTTATAGAGTCTTCTGTATATACACATGATCCTATCATACTTTCCCCTGATGCCATCTAAAGGAGAAAGAAGGAGTCCGTCTTATTCTCTGGTGGAAAAACAAAAAAGGCGTCGTCTATTCACCAATTCTTTAAATAAGAAGAATCAAAGTAGAAATATCTGTCAACTCGCTGAATCATTAGCTCCCGTTTTCTGTCTATTTAATTCTGGACAGGTTAATTTTTTTCCAATTCGTCATCCTCCTTATTCACTGCCTTCAGTGTCATTATTTTGTTTGATTCGTGATAAGTGCGAGTCATAACTACCACTTTTAATTACAGCTGTCACCGACGAACATGAGAAACGATTCCAAGAGGATAATTGTTAGCCCTTCCAAAATTTTCAAGTGAGATCTCATCTGGGGATGATGATTTACTGTGGCATGATTTTCTGAAGGGTGCCGGAAGTGGGTTGTAATTCTCACGTCTTTCTCTTTGACTCTGGAATATTAAGCTGACATTTGAACCTTGGCCTGCAAGTTGACCGCTTTTCTGATTTTATTAAGCCATGTTGAGGATTCACACGCTTCTTCACTATACAAACTCTCTATGATGACATTGCATGTCGCCTGTAGAAGTGTTTCTTCATGCCATGCTTTCCATGAACAGGAAGAAGCTGGCTTCCAAATTAGAGGAATTTAAAGCTTGGAGCAAGCCATCCTTTCTTCAGTCCATTTGCAGGTTTATGGTGGTTTGAATATGCTTGGTCCAGGGAGTGGCACTATCAGGAGGTGTGCCACTGTTGGAGTAGGTTTGGCTTTGTTGGAGTAGGTGTGCCACTGTGGGTGTGGACTTTAAGACCCTCATCCTAGCTGCCTGGAAGCCAGTCTTTTCCTAGTGGACCTCAGATGAAGAATGTAAAACTCTCAGCTCTTCCTGCACTGTGCCTGCCTGGATGCTGCCACGCTCCCACCTTGATGATAATGGACTGAAACTTTGATCCTGTAAGCCAGCCCCAATTAAATGTTGTACTTTTAAGAGTTGCCTTGGTCATGGTGTCTGTTCACAGCAGTAACACCCTAACTAAGACAAGGTTCTTCTCTCAGCAACCTGTCCTTGAACTTCCTTAGGTAATGTGTAGGAATGTTCTTCATAATTGTGATGGTATCATTGTTAAATTTATTATTAATGTGGGGGGGATGTATATGTCATTGCATAGGTGTAAGTCAGGAAACACCTATTAGGAGTCAGTTCAAGGGATCCAACTCAAGTTTTGAGGCTTGCTGAGCCAAGTGCCTTTACCTGCTAAGCCAGCTCACTGACCCTCTGATTCACTCTTCTTGTTTACAGAGTCAAAATGACGGTAACCACAGGGAACAAGCTTGACTAATAATTTCAGAGTTAGCTCTACTTCTGTCTTTGCCCTCTGTGTGCCCGTGCAGCTGATCCGTCACTGATCTTTCTCTCTTTTTAATTACTTAATTAATTAACTCACTTTACATTTCGCTCACTGTCCTCCTCCTGGTCACCCCCTCCCTCAATTCTTCCTTCCTCATCCGTTTCCCCTTCTCCTCTGAAAAGGGAGGGCCCCTTGAGTATTTCCGTACCCTGGAGCACCAAGTCTCTGCAGGCTAGGCACTTCCTCTCTCACTGAGGCCAGACAAGGCAGCCTAGCTAGAAGAACATAACCCACATTCAGGCAACAGCTTTGGGATAGCTCGCATTCCAGTTGTTCTGAATCCACCTGAAGACCAAGCTGCGCTTCTGCTACCTATGTGCAGGAAGGCCTAGGTCCTGCCCAAGTATGCTTACTGGTTCATGGTTCAGTCTCTGAGAGACCCCAAGGGTCTAGGTTAGTTGACTGTTGTTTTTCCTGTGGAGTTCATCCCCTTTGGGGCTGCAGTCCTTTCTCCTGTTCTTTCATTGGAGTTCCCAAGCTGGATCTATTGTTTCACTGTGGGTGTCTGCATCTGTCTGAGTCAGCTGCTGGGTGGAGCCTCTCAGAGGAGAGTCGTGATAGACTCCTGTCTGCAAGCACAACAGAGTATTATTAATAGTGTTAAGGTTTGGGGTTTGCCCATTGGATGGAGCAGAGACTTAGGGGATAGGTAATTAATAACTGGCCACGGATCTTTCTATCATTTCTATCATCTCTATCATCTCTATTCAGCCATTTCCTGTCTATGAGAACAGTGATTCTCAATTTGTGGGTCGCGACCCCTGGGGGGGTGATGTACAGCATCAAGAAGGTTGAGAACGACTGTAAACGTGCATGGTGCAAAGTGCTTGGGTTTACACTGAGAGGTGTATGTAGAATTCCACGTTGTTTTCTTTTACATCCATTAAAGAAAGAGTAAGATCCCAGTTCTCCTTTAATAGAACACCAGTGCTCTCTTACCCATTGTGTGAAGAGTTAGTTAATATATGAAGTGCTGAACAGTGCCTGCCGTGGTTAATCCCTCAGCCATTAGCCATCCAGCAATGCCTCTCCGAGACAAAAGGAGCTGACAGAAGGACAGGGGAAAGCCCAGTATTTATGCTCTTGTCTAGTCAGGCCGTGAGCTGCCTGAAGTCTGCACTAGGCTTTGTGTATCTCAGGCGGCAGAACCCAGTCAGTACAGGGAGTCCATGGGGACACTGGTGAGCATTGAGCGTTTCCCACGTGAAACAGAAACTCTTTCCCACGTGAAACTCTCTCCTTTTATAATTATTTCAGCTGAAGAATCGAATGTTTAGTATGAATTTCTATTAAAAAAAAAACCCCAAATTCCTGATCTCCATTGCCGACTGTTTATTGTAGTTTGACTGGTTGTCACTGGCGCCCCCTGCAGGCTTAATGAAGTATTTTCTTGGCCTGCTTCAGCTTGGCTGGGAAATCCTCTGAATGCTTTGTGACTTGGCAGCACATTGCAGCTCCGCAGTATGAGGCCTGCAGTCAGCATTTTCTCCACGCTGTAAGGTTACCTGGGCATTCCAGGGTGGCGGAAACTCGTGATAATGAAAAGAGGACACGCTAGGGATGAGAAATGCTCTGTCTGGCCTACTTTGGAATCCCATACCACTCTTTGGTGGTAGGTACCTTCTGATGCCAGGAGCTGATCTTCTCTTCTTCAAAATGGTGGGCTCTCACATGGCTTATTGGTGAGTACAAGCAGCAACGCGTCTGGAGAATCCACTGAAGTATGTGTCCCACAACACACATATTCAGTATCTGCTCCCTTCAGTTTACAAGGTAACCCAAACTCATCCACACTCGCTAAGGCTTTCTTTTGTTTACTCTTGTCCTTTGCTGCAGAGGGAAGATTTTTTTTTCTTTGTCTTTCAGCCAGCAGGTGGCAACCAAATTAAAGCTAAAAGCTCACCTTTTTTCAACATGGGTGGAAACATCGGCTTTTGCATAACAAAATTGCAGTTTGAACTGAGAGCATTTGGAATTGAAGGAGTCTCACCATGAGTACCGAAGGCTAGGTTTCTGCGCCCCCAACCCCCTTTGATTTTGGTTTCTGCATATCTCTATCAATGCGGAAATCCTGAATCATCCTGCTTCGGACAACACGGTACTTTAAGTGAAATGACTCTGTTCCCTTGATCTGGCAGTTTAAAAATCAGCATTCAGAGATGAAGTCATAAGCTGACATGACAGGCTCCTTGTACAGATCCGATGTTGTTTGTGGGTTTGCATATTTTGTTTGAGTTTTTAATTTATCAAATGACGAAAATGTCACTGCTATCCTGAGTATTGCTATCCTGAGTATTGCGACCATGAAAACACACTTAGCATGGTTCATGGTACACAGCAAATTCATGATTGAACTGCACAGTTTAGATGATTTATGCTATGCTTATAGACACACCTTGGACAGAAAATGGGATCACATGTGGTCTAACTCTTTCCTCATTGGATGAGGACTTGGAGATCTAGAAAGGTTATTTTCATGGAGCATGGAGTTACAGAGAATAGTCTTTTTTTTTTTTTTTTAAACACAAATTGTGGAAGGCAAAATGACCAAAGCCAGGAATTTGCTTTATTTATTTTTCCTCCTCCTATACCCTAGGGTTCCTCATTATTTCTCACTGGAGTTTGATGATACTGAGCCTGGCTTGCCATTGAGGGCTAACTGCCCTGTTTTTAAAGACTGGCCAGGATGGGCAGTCTGGTATCATCATGATGGATGTATTCAGAAGTGTCCCAAGTCACCATCACATGATACATGCTGCATGTGTCCCTTGACATAACAGAAAAGATAACCCCTCATACTACCTTTCTTTCTCAAGGCAAGTCAACCCTGGATATCTTTCTCTTTAGAAGACTATCCCTACTGTATCTGCTTACATGGCCAGTGCCATGTGATTATTTGAATGGCTAGTAGATGTTTCTATTGCTATATTCCAGGGGAAAAAAAAATCATTAACATGCACTGGCTTACTAGCTGACCTGAAGGTTTGCTAGGGATTAACCAAGACCTCTAAAGGAGTAGCCAGAAAGGCAAACATTTCCTTTGTTTAGCTTGCTGCTTACCACTCTTGGTTTTATGGTATCCATAGGGTAAGGGAGGGCTGGCCAATAGCTCTTTACTTAGTTGATGACTGTTACCATCTTATGCATATAGCTGACAACCTGAGGTCTATCAACTACCACACCACACTGGTGGTCCTTGTCTCTCAACCAATCATGGACTCATCATATTGGAGATGAAAGAAATTCCCCAGTGGAATGTGCCCACCTTTTTATTTTATGTTTAAATCTCTCTGCCTGCCTGACCTACCCTCTGTGTGTGTATACACTCATGTGGTTATGTACATGTTCCTGGGTAACTGCAGATGCATGCACAGAGGTCATAAAACACTAGATGTTAGTCTTTACCTTACATCTTGTTAGAGACAGGGTCTGTCTTTTGTTGGTTACCACTTTGTGTGCTAGGCTGGCTGGCCCATCAGTTCTAGAGATTCTCCTTCTTCTGTTGGCCATCCTGCCACAGTAGAAGGAGGACTAGAGATGTTGGTTACTGTACCTGACAATACATGGGCTCTGGGGATTTGAACTCGGGTCCTCATGCCTTACCCAACGATACAATTTTCTTAACCCAACCACCTTCCTTTTATATATGAAAAATCTCAATGGGCTATCATTGAATCATCAGGTCTCAGGTAAACAGAATATTATTTTATGCTATTACTTAGGGCAGAAGGGATATACTTTTTAGTCATTCCAATTCTAGTTAAATGCTCCAAATCTGATATACCATAACTGATGGTTTGGGGAAGCTAAAAACAAGAGACTTTCCTCCTCTGTTATTGCACTCGTGTGTAGTACAGTATAACTATGTATCTTCTTGAATCTTTCTTTTCTCTGTCAGGGGTCTCTCTGACACAGGCTTTTATTAAATTTATAGGGCATGGATTTTATTACACCCTCATGATGATATCAGGAGATTGAACAAAACAAAACCTGAAATTCACAGGGATAATTTAAGCATAAGCAAAAGTGAGGTCTGGGTGGGTATCATGCAGGTGCCCTCTCAGAGATGCCAGTTCATGTCATGGGATTGCTGCCTCTGGTCCTACAGATAGAAGATCCTGAGTGCATGTCTGTTTCCTGGCTATGTACACAAAGCAAGAATACACAAAGGAGGCTTCCAGCCTTGGAATAATTTCAAGTAGCGAAGTTAATAATGTCTCTAATGTCTAGGATTTATAAAGCAAAGGTCTTCTAAAATTAGGTACTTGTAATTTATAATTAGACTTAATTATAGTTGTTGATTAGTCGAAAGTGGTAATTTAATGCTGTGCTGAGAAAGATTACGGACTTTGTGTTCTTTTCTTGTGCATTTGAAAAAAACTAGTATTCTGAAGCTCAATAAGACAAAGACAGGTTGCAACTACTGACAAATTAGTCTGTTCTAAGTGGTAGTGATTCTGGGTTCTTTAAAAGGGGGTGGATGAAAGAACACAGGGAAAGGCTGGAGGGGTGACTCAGCACTTTCAGCTCTTGCAGAGGTCCTGGGTTCAGTTCCCATCACCCATGTGGTGGTTCACATAATACATAACTCCACTTCCAGGGGATCTGATGCCCTTTTATGACCTCTGTGTGTAAAAGTATGCAAGTGGTGCACATAGATTTATGAAGGCATAATGTTAATACTCATAAAATAACTAAACCTTTAGAAAAGAAAGAAAAATAGATTCCTTATTTTAGACTGTGTAAGTGGGCAGTGAGTGGATTTCCTTCTCAGCTGACAGAATTTTTTATTAACCGTGACCAATTCTGTAATAGCTTACTCTTAACTACAGCCTTCCAACATTTATCTTACTAGGGGAAGAATGTTCCTATCAGGAAGCTAAATATATGCCATCCCTCCATCAAGTTCTCAGAGCTGAACCAACTTATCTGCCTACTTTCTAGGGAAGCAGGGCATCCGAAGTCCTATGTCCTTGGCTAGGTCAGTGACATTTGGATCAGCAGCAGTATCAACAAGTGACCATATTCCTGGTGGTGTTTTAAAGACAGGGATACAGTGAATACTTTCTGCCCTCAAGAAATGTAGAGTTCTCTAGGGCCTGTGTAGGGGGAGGGGAGGAAACCTTGACAATAAGATAGAACTTCAATATATGGTGTGGTGCTGGTGGGATAGAGGCCTAGATCTATTGAGGAGGGATATAACAAAAATGAAAATGATTATGCAATGAAATGTTCAGATGTCAGTGGTTCCACTTTTTAGAATATGGCTGACAAAGCCCTAAGTTAATATTAGATAATTTATGCAAGAGGAAAAAGCCTTTACTTTAAGAACTACTAGGGTCTGATGGTTTTAGTCATACTTACTTAAAGCACCTAAAAGAACAGTCTCAAGCAACTGTTACATGGGTTAAGAAGGCAAGCAAGAAGTGGGTATGTACTTTGACCCAATGTGGTCAAATCCAATGTGGTTGGATTATTGGACCCAGCATCTTCTTGGCATAATTGTGGGTCACGTTGGGAAGAGTCCTTCATTATAGAGTTGGCATTTATTATAAAAAGATTATACTGCTGGACACAGAGGGATACTATAAGCCCAGAACTCAGGGAGTTAGAGGCAGGTAGATTGCTCTAAATTTAAGGCCAGCTTGATCTATGTAAGAAGTTCTATGGCAACCTGAGCTACCTACTGAGATCTCATTGATCCCTGCTCCCAACAAATACAAATGGTTCTAGTGTTATCATACCTTTAAAATGTGTGAAGTCTGAAAAATATTCATGCTTAACACATAACAAAGGTCACCATGCCCAGGGATCTCAAGGGAGACCAGGAATATTAAGCACACAGGGTTGTCTTTCACATGGAAAGATGTACAACTTGTTCTTCCATTCAGAAAGCTATGAATTGAAAATGGTTACAGTCTGCTGATCTATGTTAACTGTTGGGTAAGGCCATATCAAGTTCCCACAGTCAGGACCAGGAATATCCAATAGTCTAAATGACTCACTATCTGTATAGCCAGAGGTTCTCCCAAGTTCCTATGACCAGGACCAGAAGTGGTTAATAACCCAAATGACCTCTATGCTATTTGTATAGCAGAGACCAGGCAAGACTCTTCCTTAGGCCCTTAAGTCAATACAGATAGCCTATCTCTGGAACTCATCTTCTTGGAAGAAATGACGTGTACCCTGAGTCAAGTTTTGATGTAATCACACTTCCTTGTGCAGCAGGAATTTCATTACACCAATTTTTTTCTATATTATCCTGTGTTTAAAATTTTGAGGAATAAATCTGGCATCAGACTCCCCAAAGTCTTGACCCAGGATAACAAAGTCAATCTTGAACCAATTTTTCATTCACATTTTTTTTTGTGGTTCACACTCCTGCTTGCTGTGATCACCTGCAAGGCCCCCTCATTTCTTCTCCAGAGAGAATATATGTAGTCCTTGCATGGTTAAGTCTTGAATCAATGATATTTCCTGTGACAGATGTAATAAGCATGCAGACATCTTGGTTTCCTATTTCTCCAAAAAGTCTTCCGAGTGTTTAGAATGCTGTAGTTGCTCTGGTTGCTTTTGTACTCCGTGATTTCACTAATTACACAAAATGATGATCAAATCTTGCCCTGTTGTAGAAACTTCTGGAACAATCTTGAGGCAACAAGTGCATAAAATGAATAGATAA